CCCCGGCGGTGGGATTGGTTGTTTAGGGCGGTTGCGATGGTCGTTACTAAGCGAGGCAACTCATGGTAGTAGGCGATCGGGAGGTTAGTACATCCTTGTTTAAGTAACCCCCAGGTTCCGAGGAGTGCTCGCTGCAAATTTGACCGGTGGGGGACGGAAGCTACCAATCAATAAGTACTGATACACTAGTAGGTCTGTTGATTTGGATGGCCTGTACGACCTTCACAAGTACAGTGGAACAACCATTTACAACCACCAAACTTGTTCCATATGACGTGTATTATCACGAACAGCCGCCAGTGTGTGTCCCTTGTTAGCCGGTGTTAACACTTACCTGTCTAAAGGACTTTTCTCGCACACTTATAAAGAAAACTTTTTCCGGAGACTTAACATGCTCAAATTATATTACTTCAGACAGCTCTTATCCAATTCCCTATTTGGAGAATGACTACTTATTTTATGAACTTGTCTGCCGGCGTTCTCATTTCATAGATGCACCTTCTACTTTGCGGATTTGTATAACCTTCCTTTAAAAATTTCTGCCGTGCTCAGTTTTGTGAACCCAACTTTGGAGAGTTGTCTGGGGCTCGTGTGGTTCGCATCGCTACTCACCCTGACTATCAGGGCCTTGGCTATGGATCACGGGCGCTGAAGTTGCTGCACGACTACTACATGGGAAAAATCGTGAGTCAGGTCTTGTTTTGCCTTTTTGTTCTGATTCTGTCCTTCTGGAATCCTTTATTTTTCTTTTGGTCATACCAAAACTCTCTTAGAAGGGTATCTTTTGCTTTTTTTTACCAGCTGGTCACGGACTACTGTCTTGACCATATGCTTGCTACTGTCGTTACAAATAGATGACTTTAGCGCTACATTATTGCACCCGGAATCAGCGATTATGCCTTCAAGTGTGCTGAAAATACGGCCGTGTATTCTGTCTTCAGTCCTGCAGAAAGCAACTCAATTTGTACGTGGTCATGTCTGCGGAACATGTAGCTCAGCTCAGCAGATTTCCAAATAAAAGGACATTTATAAAATGGCTGGTGCGCTAAATTGTGTGACCAGAACTTTATTTATTCAGATAGTAGCATTACCGGAAAAGGCAAAGGAGACTGGTTCAGTCATACCCAACCCCAAGTGGTGTCCCACCCAAGGCTCGCACCCGCGATCTTCCGATCAGAGGTCTAACGCTCTAATTATTGGGCCACGGGCTCGTTGATAAACGTTTTATCTTTCTGGCCCTTAAACAGCTATGCGACCAATAAAACACGATCATTCAACACCAATAGACGAAAATAAGTCAGCAGAATTCGTATATTGCTACTTGAAATAAGCCAGTAGCTCCTGTGGATGCCATTGGGACGCGCCTTGATGAATTAGAGCATCCGTGCCGGGCTTGGAGTTGTGATTAATAGCTAACAGAATATGTTCAAGAGGTTGCACGAATTTCATCACAAATCCATGGTTATCTTACGGCTCTGTTGAGAAGCTCCAGCAAGTTTTTCCCCACCACCTAGAGTCCTGTAATCGTTGACCAAATTTGTACGGTTTATGAGGATTTCCCCATTGCCAGATTGACCACCACTGGTTTCTAACGCTTAACTTTACTTCTTTGTCTCCTTCTGTGCAAGGCCGTCACAACTGTGCCGGCTGCCCAGCTAGCCAGCAAAGACTCACCGAAGAAGTCGAAAAAAGCTGAAAAGGTGTCCACCAATGACGACGACAGTGATAATGAGACAGATGAGGAGGAGGAGGAAGAGGATGAAGAGGAGATTCCGGATGATCTCTCGGTCTCCAGTGACGAGCTCCCCGCCGCGAAAAAGAGAAAGCATGAAGGTGTAGAAGACACAACGGGTTCCTCCAAACTTCTCACTGAGAAGGTTGAACGTCGCGGTTCCTCCAGTCTTCCACCCCTGCTAAGTCGGTTGTGTGAGCGGAAGCCTGAGAAGTTGAATTACCTTGGCGTCTCGTTTGGAGCAACCCCGAAGCTCATCCGTTTCTGGAAGAAGGCTGGCTATCTGCCCGTTTACCTTCGACAAACCATGGTGTGTTGCAATTTATTTCTCCATAGTATACCTACTGAGTTAACTTAAGTAACCACCTTACTTTAACTCTTTGTAGAACGACCTGACCGGCGAGTTCTCTTGCATCATGCTGTCGGAGCTCAGACACGACGGTAAAGAGGGCGTAGATGTTGATTGGCTGAAAGAATTCTACCTTGGTAAGTTTGCAAAGTTTTAATACCTTGATTTTTAACGCCTTTGTAGTATGAACCTCTTTTAACCGCCTCTTCTTTCTGCTAGATTTTTGCAGGCGGTTCATCAAACTGCTTCCCGGTCCCTTCCGACAACTTGATGCCGTCTACTCACTAGAACTCCTCAGCTCCAAGGTTGCTCATTCGTGGTCCTTTACAGGTGGGGTTATTGATCCGTGTGTCTTTTCGCTTCTAGAAGTAGATTATATTTACTATTGTAGTCGAAGAAACCGATTAATTGAAACTAGATTTAAATCGCATCGTCAACATATTCGGTCAATTATTTTATTACCTTATTAACATATATAATATCCCCCCCAATTCCCCATGCAGAGGCTAAGGGTTCGGAACTGCGCCTCCTTTTTTCCGAGCTTGATATGGAACGTCTCCACCGGTATCTTCGATCCCTGCTCGACTTCCCTATGGTGTCTGACCAATTGCCTGAGCTCTCCAGCCTCTACTTCCTTCATCGTTTCCCCGAAGTTCGGCTCAATAAGACCCAGCAGGTGCGTCCACCAACCCATTGTCCGTATTGCTTTGATTTGATTACTTCTGTGTGTGTCGTAGCCCATTGTTGGATCAGGAGTCCCCGCCGGAATCCAAAC